ATGTTTCTATAATTTCATTCTCACAATCCATAGCACAAACAAATCATGTGCAAAGAGAAATATTATATCCCCCCCCTAATAATATCTAGATACTGCTTATATATTAGTATTCTACATACTCCAACTGATTACAAAGATGATTAGAAGTGGGTAACCTGTTTGACACCATACTTGCGCAATCTTTGATGCATCAGTCTAGTACTTCTAATACACTCATCTTTTTGTAGTGAATCTCAAATAAGACTTTCACATGTTCACTTGGGTCATGCTCTTCACATGTTCACTAAGTAACAAAAGCTCTTTGTTTCATAACGTGTATACTGGTACTTGGGAACCTTATACCATTCCATATTTTGGTGGTTTTCAATTCTTTATCTTATTTATGGATGATTCTCTCACAACACCTGGCAGTCTTTAATGCAATCTAGGGATGGGGTACCTCATATGCTAAAAAGTTTTCACAAGATGATATGACTCTTTAGATTTAACAATACAGGCAGTGTTTTAAAGTGCAAGGGTCGTGGGTCTTCTAGAACCAAGGTGCAAAGCAAGCCACAATGTTTTGAAAAAATTTAAAAAAAAACAATAATATATAAAAATGCAAAAAAAAAAGTTCTTTTTGGTAAAAGAGAAAATTTGTTGTTTTTGGTGAATTTTTTTCTATTTGACATCCTATTTGCAAGAACCTGGGCTTCATGTATTAACTGCTTTTGTTTATTTTGAAAGTTAATGGACCATTTAGAAGTCTGTGAACAGCACTAGACAGTAAGGGAGAATTCACTAAAAAGGTAGGAAACATACAAGAACCTACGAAAAAACCAACAAGAAAAGGCAAGTTTAAAAAGGGTATGCACCTAGGCTGGGGTGCAAGACACACCAAGCATGCACCTATTCAAAGGGGCTACACCTGGGTACAAGCCAATGTTACATGAGAATCAGAACCTGATGTGTGTTCAGGAGTTTGGCTTGGAAAGATGAAGAAACATGGTGTTATGTTGAGTACTTCTAAAGTTCTCACTACCAAATTCCAGGGAAACGCTTTCCAGACTGTAATTTTCATGGTCAACCGTATTCCATTCCATCCAAGGTCCTCTAGCTTTAGTCCCCATGTCATATGTTCTATTCCCCAATGTGTTTTTAAGTACACTTTATTCGCATTCTAGGTCCCCACAGATCCAAATGTTTTCAAAAACTAACAAAGCACCTATTAACTTTTGTAATTTGAAACCCATTCTTCAACCATGTTAGTTTTTCATATAAAACAAAGCCAAAAAAAAACCCTTTCTTGTACTTTGGTTTCTTAAAACCTGTTGTCTTTTGTCTTGTGATTTGATTGTATGGTTCATAAAAGATTGTCCCCTGTCTGATCCTAATTCAGTGCACTTGTGCCACACTGAAGAATTCCCCATGCTTGAAAAGGTGAAATCAGTTCCTCAATTTCAAAAACATCAAAATATTGGTTTCAATGTTTCCTGATATCAGAATCTACTGAATTTCAAAACATTTTCAAATACCAATCAAGCACAACTTTATTTCCAGTACATTGTTATTTCGAATTCCATAAGTTGCCAATATCAGAATTACTCATGTTGGCAAATACCCCCTTAGTGTCAGATTTCCTCTTCGTTCTCTTTACAGATTAAGCTGTAAAGACACATGTTGGAATGCTTATCATGATTAAGCTACAGTTTTACGTTTTGGACCTTGTAAATCAAGACACATGGTGAAATGCTTCACTAATGCTTTACATATTCTACAAGGAACAGCAGGGAAARAAGAAAGATAACAGATGGAGATCAAAACAACATAAGATTTACTCATAAAAAATTTTTAAATAATATATGTCATCAAAAAATGCCCTAAAAAGAAGAACATGTTATGTTCAGAACTACAAACTAGTAACAAACTACACATTCTAGATGTAGTTACATGTAACTGAGATAGTTAAATTAATGAATACCAAAATGTTAGGATAAGAGATGCATTAATACCTGGCCTTAAAAGGAGTTCCAGATCCTCTCCAGACATGAATAATTGTCAAAGCATCATCAAGGGTAACTTGAGTTTTAAATCCAATGTGACTTAAAAATCTTCTGTTCCTAACCTGATATAGTAAGAAATATTTCAAAAATAATGGACAAGCAAAAGTTTATGTCAACCAAATAACTTCATTCCATAGACATGCTCAAACATCTTAGATCATGAACTGTTTCAAATATACAGAACTTCTTAGGAAATAGTTTATACTTCTTTATATTCTCAAAGTACTGTAACGATTGAGATTGACTTATCTCAAAGAACTTTTTCGGGCGTGTAAACTTGTCTATGGAGAAATACAAAAAAGGCTTCATAGTTATAAAATAAAAAATAAAAAAATCACAGTAAATTTGCTTTATCCACCCAGAACATCTAACTAATTATAGGCAAAATCTCTATTACAAGACATGCACTTTACAGGCATATGCCAAAAGATACAACAGAATTTTCAATGAGAGAGAAAATAAAAGAGGTGATGATCTCGGTGAAATTGGACATTTTTAACCCTCTTTCCATTTTGGACATTATAAGGGGACAGCAGGTTGGGCAACCCTGGCCCATAAGGGAGAGTTATAAGAGAAACGTCAAGTGCTTTGCTTGCAGTATATTCTGAACTGCTAGGAGTGGGAGACTCAATAAATGCAAAATTGCAAGCAGTACTTTGTGGCCTCCAAATATGCAAGAGTGATGTTTTTAAAATCATACAATACATTATTCGAATCGTACGGTTCATATCGAATTGTGAACAAAACAATACGAATCATATACAGGAATCATTTTTTGAAAAAATCGTACAATTTATAACCAAATCGCTAAATTGAAGCATAAATCACAATTTGCAAACAATTTTAAGATAAATGGTTTTGTCAAGAAAAGACTGTTTAGCCCTCTCCTCTTAGGGTTTTTGTTTAAAAAATGAGGGGCAATTGTGTTATTTTAATTATTAAAGGCTATTTGCCTCCTTAACTAATCGAAAGAAGCTTCCTTCCCAAAGGAAAACTTCTGGGAAGGAGAATAAAAATCCCTCCTGTGGAGCATCAAAGCTCCACCGTACCACTGTAAGTATTTTTTTTTCCCGTTTTTTGGTTGTTTTTCAATTATATTTGCTGTACCACAGTAAGCATTTTCTATTTTCTACTCTGTTTTGCAATGCAAAGATCTTATCCCATGGTTTTGAAGTTTTTTTGTCAGGAATAGAGGGGTTAATGCGTTTCTACTTTTATCCAATATCCATATTCTGAAGAACTTTACATTCCTTGTTGGTCAACAAAGATTTCTTTGTTAACCTATAAAAAAAAAAGGATTTCTTTGTTAACTTCAGTCTCTAAGTCTTTATTTATGCTGATATGTGTGTAGTTTGTTAAATTATCATGTTCTTGCCTTCTTGGATGTGTGTTGGGTTTAAATTGAGAAATTATATCTCAATCTTATTTCAGTACTTTTCATGAATTGCATGTTTGGCTTAAATTATTGAAACTTCAAAGTTGAAACAACAAGAGACTTAACAGAAAACAATAGGTAATTTTATAATTTTATAAACAACTAGAGCCTTAAATTATATCTCAATTCAAAACTCTTTACGATTTACGATACGATTACAATTTTCAGAACATTGTGCAAGATACTTAATCTGCACGATGTAGAGACCAAAGGGAATTCTAATCTCTAAAGTAGAGATCAACTGGTTGAGGAACTGCTCAAAAGAAACTTGGCAGCATGGATACACTTTAAAAATGGATTTTATCTTGCAAGAGAATAGGGAGCTGGTCATGAACTCCTAGGGTAGAAAGCAATGTGGCTGACCTGTTGACTAGATAAGGAGTAAATAGGGAGAACTTGTAAAAGTGGTTGTGGAGATGGCCTTTGGAGAGAGCGAGAGAGAGAGAGGTTATGGCATGAGGTGGTGTCTAGCATTCATGGCTGCTAAGAGAATGGTTGCGATGCCGGGATATCTGGATGGGTAACCAACCCCTCAATGACCTCTTCCCCTCTCTTTACTCTCTTTCCCTTAACAAAAAAGAGTCAATTTAAAAGTGTCTCTCTAGTCCAATATTTCCATTGTCTTTAAATTGGGATTTTGGTTTTCATAGGGCATTAAGGGATGATGAGTTGCTTCTTTTGCTTGAGTTAGTTTGTTTGGATCCCACTAAAACTGATAAAAGAATTTGGACCCCTCTCCCAAAAGGCAACTTTACTTGTGCTTCTTTTCTAAAATCCCTCAATATTAATTCTTCTTCTCGGGTGCTCCCTGTTAAAGAAGTTTGGGTTAGACCTATTCCCCCTAAAATTGTTGTTTTCTAGTGGGACATTTACTATGGGAAATCAATACTTTGGAAAATTTGCAAAAGAAGTAACCTTATCTTTGTTTTTCCCCTAATTGGTGCTTTCTGTGTAAGGCTCAGAAAAAGGATTGTTACCACTTGATGATATCCTGCTCCTTTTCTGCAGCTTTATGGAGTTGGATGGCTAGTTTGTTTGGATGTAGGTCGTCTGACGTGAGTATGCTTTTTAATTCATCTACATTTGGGTGGCACACGAAAAGAGGGAAATTATGTGGAAATGTATCAGGGTAGCTCCCTTATGGACTATTTGGGAGGAAAGGAATGCCAGAAACTGGGTGGCACACGAAAAGAGGGAAATTAACAAGAGCAATCCATTGGATGAAAACCTTAGTCCTGTTTGTTGACTTTTCCTTTGATGATCTTTGGAGAAATTGGTTAACAGTGGCTAATACCTCCAACTATGAAGAATAGAAGTGTGGTAGAGTGGAAGCCTCCTCCAGAGGGTGTCATTAAGTTGAGCTTTGATGGGAGCAGCCAGGGTAATCCTTGATCTTCATGTATAGAGGCTGTGCTAAGGAATAAGAACAGCAACATTATTTCCTCATTTCTGGACCTATGGGAATGGGAGATTCTACAAGGGCAGAGATAGTAGCTGTTGTACAAGGGATCCAAATTGCGAACCAGATTGGGGTGGAACATCTTCTAATTGAAGGAGACTCTTAGGTGGTAGTGGGTTGGCTATTAAACCCAGATTATGTCATTTGGGGCCATAGAGACCTCCTCAAAAAAGTGAAATGGTTAATTAGCAATATGAGAGTTAATGTTTAATGGGTAAGCAGGTCAAAAAATACTGCAGCTGATTCATTAACCAAACAAGGGGTCTCAAAGGAAGGTCTTTTTCGGCTACTTTGTAGCTTGTTCTAGTTCAATTTTAAATCAGTGTTTTAAAAATGCAAGGCAGAAGGGGTATCAAGGGGAGATCTGTTTTGGGCTACCTTGTAATTGTATTTCAGGCTTATGCTTCAGTCCTTGGGGGGAGGTAACACCTCGTACCTCCTCCTAGGCTGACTGTACTTCTTTACTTGAATTAATAAAACTACTCACTTATCAAAAAAAAAAAAAGCGCAAGGTGCAAGGCGAGGCATGTGCCTTTTTGAAGCAAAGCGCAAAAATACAAAAAAAAAAAAAGAAAAGGTAAAAGATCAAAAGACAATGTCAGAAAATTCAAAAAATTCAAAACAATGCAAAAAAAAATATTAAACATAACATTAATAAAAATATAAACTTAAAATTTAAAATAAATGTTTTAAAAACCCTATTACCAGAAATTAAAATACATAAACATAACATGTAAAGCGTATTCAAATGAAAATTKAAAAATAAAATCAAAGATATAAAACATTTTCAAGCATGTAAAACCTACAAACTCTTTTTTTTTCTCAATTGCCTTACTTCAAGTAGCTAATGTGATGTAAAACATATTACATTCCTGATTCTACAAGTTGCCTTTGTGCCACGGCCCCTGAGGCAAACCCAAACAAGTCTATGTTAGCACTTAGGATCTTAAATTCTTAATTCTCGCACAAAATATAATGATTTTATAATTTTAATTGCCTTTTAAGAAGATATTTTATTAGGGTGAATGAATGAACAACATTAGCAAATAGGGGGTTCTCGAAGCTTCGAGGGGCGTGGTACAGAGGTCCAAGGCGGAGCCCCCAGCCAAGCCGGTAGGTTCAAAAAAGCAAAAAAGCGTAATATTTTAAGAAGGCACAGGCCTGGGCTGAGGCACAAGGCGCATCGGGTGCACTAGGCGTGCACCTTTTGAAAGGGTTGTGCCTAGGACATGCACCTAAGTGCGCCTTTTAAATCAATGTTTGAAATGTGTAATTAAATCTTCTAGAGAGGTTGCATCTCGTGCCTTTCCTTGGGTTGCTTGTAACTCTTTATCTTTGGAGATCAATAAATTTTTCACTCAATTATCAAAAAAGGGAGAGCTTGTACTTGGGGCTATATTGTAATTAAGTTGTAAATCCCCAATGGGGAATAATTAGGTAGCATATTCTATATTCCTGTAYTTTTAATGTATATATTCTATTTCTTTTAAAAAACAATTATTACCTTTCAAAAAAAATGATGCAAAATGAGCAACCCAGAAATCTTTCACATATCCTTGAAATCTTTCAGAGTTAATACCCAATTCATAATCAAGGAACTGATGTCCCCTACAAGTACTCTTTTTTGTTTCCAAGATCCCCCTACTTCTTTCTTCCCATATGCCCCAATTAGTGACATACATAGATATCGTCTGTTGTTGTGGATGCTTTTATTGGGAAGAAATACAGCCGCAAACAGCAGCAGTAATGGGCGCAAGATTCAGTGTTCCTATCTTATCTGTTAGCTAGATACAGTGTCCCTATCTTATCTCTCAGCTAGATTCAGTGTTCCTATTTTATCTGTTAGCTAGATTCAGTGTTCTTATCTTATCTGTTCCCATCTTATCTCTTAGCTAAATTCAGTGTTTCTATCTTATCTCTTAGCTAAATTCAGTGTTCCTATTAATTAAGCAGTAGCATTATTATTTAAAGATAAATGTTGTTAGGAAGTCTTCCTAAAGAGGGACTCTTATCTTCTTGTAATCTCCTATTTAAAGGAGCTGATGATATTCAATGAAATAATCAAAATTTTAAATCAAGAAAGAGCAGGGGAGAGTTGGTGATCTCTTTAACAAATCACCATTAAGGCGTTAAAGATAGGTTCCTCGAGGAAAGGGAGAAACAAGGGAAAACAAGTTTTCCCCATTAACCGACCTGTGACGAGATCCTATTCGAGGGCCCTTAACATCTGTGGCATTTACCATATACTAGAGCATGTGCATGTTTACAGTTTAGGGCACCATATATATTTTATCCCATGTAGATATCACTAGGTACCTACCTTGGCCCCTCATTCCTAACTCATTCCAGAGTTGTACTAATAGCTACTTACTTATGTAGGCAATCAGCCAACACTATCGCATGTATTTTTATAACAGTATGATGCCTATGTATTTACTTATGTAGCATACATGTATAGCCAACAAAACAGAATTGAAGGACCCCAATATTAAACACAATTAACGACTAATAGTTCTCAATTGGAAATTCATCGCATATTAAGATAGTACCATATAGACCAAATGAAATCTCAAGGATATGAACAAACCTTAGGAACAGCATATGGAGCAAAATCACCGAGGATAGACCGCACTGCCTCACAATCATAGAATAGATCCTTGGGATAGTTAAGCTTTTTATCAATACTTGATACTACCCACCTTGCACTGCAGATGTTATTTATGAATGAAGACTTAATGGGCTTGCTAAAATCAGTGCATTTGGAAATGAGCTGGCCTGTCACTTTCTCACTAAAACAATCATCCCACAATTTATCAAGAATTTCCAGAAGATGCATACACTCTTCAAGTTTGTTCTTTGAGGACAAGGTAGATAGTAAATGGACCAACTCAGGTGATTCCCAATCCTTAATGATTGACCCAGAGGAAATTAGATCCTTATCCGACAGCATGTTCATCAAAACCGTATGGGATATATCGGTAATATTCTTCTCAACTTGAACTATTTGCACAAAATCAGTAATACCTAATTCCTGGAAAAAATCTCTCCACTTTGACAGTCCGGATGGTGATGACTTGCTGCTTGGATATTTCAAATAGATGATATCAACTTCATGCCAGTTAGACTCTGTAGCATCAAGCAACCTATTCACATCAACAGGATTCCCAAATTCTCTGCTGAAATGAATTGATACCTCTGAAGGTCGTCTATACCCATAATTTGTTAAAATAAAAGCTTTGCCCCGTAATTCAGATATAATATGCACCCTTTCAATACAACAGTTAGGGCAACTGGACTGAAGGTGAAGCATTACAAAGGATAGGTATTCAGTCATCAAACTTTTGTCTCTATCAGCAACATTGTCATCAGAAATGGCTGGCAAGATATGTGCTTTTATTATTTCATGTGCAGACAACCGCTGGACACCAATTCTGCTAAGCATGTTTACAATGTTTTCTACTGGTAGCTCCTCCAAGTTGTAWGAATTTCCAKCTGTTGCAGAAAGTAATGCAGGGTTAACAGTCCTAAGTTTTGCATATAAGCTTGGAAAAGCTTCAGTACAATATTCACCATCAAATCCACTGCTGAAGGCATCAGAGGGCAACCAAATTGTACCTTCAGCCAATGAGCCATATGTACCATCCGAAAGTGGAATAAATGGAATTTTCCTCAGGCTTATAAGATCTGATTCATTTAGTTTAGTTTCCGTAGAACGGATTGACATAGTAAAAACAGCATTAATCCAAGATGATAACCAATTCAGACCCAGTGCATTGATGCCATTATTTGTATGGCATATAGATGATATGATGTCAATTAGGACCTTGGTCCCATACTCCTCAATGCCCAAAGCCTTTGCTAAGGGATCAGACAAAACAATATCCTTATCCAAGTAACCTAGACCAAGATGTTGATGCAGCAAACTGTCAGGTAGAAGAACACGAGACTGTTCATTCCAACATCTTAGAACCTTGCATGGAGGTACCCATTCCTTGCTGTCTCCTTCAAGGAGCAAACAATTTGACATGCGTAGTTTAGAAATAATCATGCGAGGAAGATGAGAAAAAAATCCATGAACTTCACCAACAAGTGGAACAAAGCTCATATATGCTGTCACAGCTTTTCCTGGGTGATCCTGAAAGCAAGGAAGTGCACACAATGATCTCTCTGCAGAAATAAATAAACCAGGGAACTGCGACAACAACCATTGGTTCCAGGCACTATCCCCATCTACTTCTTCTCTAGATGATGGAAGAACAAAATCACCCTGAAGAATAAACTTCAGACCATATGTTCTTAAAGGAAGAAAGGCAAAAACAGGCTGCTGGTCCAGCTGTGGCTTGTATTCTCCATCATCTGTTTCCTTCAGCGTGAAAGCTACAGCTATCTCTGTAGTCTGTACATCAGGACGAATTACACTAGCTTGCAACTTCTGGGTTTCTACAAACCAACTCATTTTCATATTTCCATGAGAAACCTTGACAATGCCATCTCCCATAGTTTCTCTCCTCATGACTGTGAGTGAATCATTCAGCACATTCCTAAACTTTATACACTGTAGGCGGTGAAGAAATAGTAGTAGAGATGGATGAAGATCCGAAAACATAGACAAAATACTGTTCATACCCGTTCCCTCTATTAGCTTTGACCTGAAGGGAAGCACTATGCAAGTATTCCAGCAGCTGGTATCATCAGTGGATAACATCCTATTAAACAAACTAATATCACAAGGAGGGACAGTTGTTGGCAAGACAAAACCAATCTGACCCTCACTTATATCATACTTGACATGAAATCCATTCGAATGAATTTCTGGGGCATCTGTAACCTGAGAACACCAACACCAAACTAATTAAAGAAGAATGTCAATATGTGTACAAAACATAAGCAACTATTAGATGATATGGGGTCAACAAAACAAGGAGAGCAAAACAATAATCAAATAGTTATTTAAATCAGCTAAGCATCAAATGAAAAAGTAAACAAAAGATATTTACAGGACCAAATCCTATAGGCATTGAATATATTATAATTAGTAAACAAACTTTACCAATCATTCATGTGTATGCCCTAGGGTGTTTTTTTTTGACACAACAAAATCATGCCATACAAAAAATCAGACTAGAACAAATCTTAGGAACTACATCTATAACATCAATGCAGAGAATAAATATCAAGATACTATTAGGTGGTTAATATTATTATGAACCAAGGTGCACCCAATGCAAGAACAAATAACATCTTGGATGGCACCCCAAGTTTCCAATGTCTAAAGCATAATTTGAGCATGATGCATTTTAATACATAATAAATGAGCAAAAATATCTAGATACTATTAGATGGTTAATATTATTATGCATGGGTATTTATCTAATCAATGTCTATTATATAAATAAATAAACAAAGGACCAGCTGGACCACACTTTTGCCTCAAGCAAATGTCTCTCTCATAATTCCCTTTGGTATCAATTCCAGGGATGGTTTCTACTAGTCTCGTGAGTGCCAGAGCCCAGCTGTCATCACAGTCCACATGATGACATCAGCAGGCATATGTACTGCTTGCAACTTCTTCACAAGAATCCATGCAATGCACAAGTTATAGATTCAATATGATCAATACACAAAAAATCCACGCAATGTGCATGTTTTAGATTCCATAAAATCAATGCAATACATAGTTATATATGCAATGCATTACAGCAATTTCAGTTCAATGTACTAGAACAAATTTTAGATTCTATATAAGCAGTGACAAGTGGTTAACATAAGAAACAGCTAGAAGGAAATAAATACACTTTCTCATTTGTTCCGAGATATCCAAATATCCAGTACCCTACAACTGTTCCATTTACTTTACCCGGAATACGGATTTGAACCCAATGCCTTTTTGCCCTATATATCCACCACTTGATCCCTTCTTTGTTGAATTTCCAACATCACATAGTGCTCTAATGTTTTGAGCAGAGAAACCTTGCTCATTATTTAAAATAACAATACCAGTAGCACGAAGAATGAAAACCAATGTGGGCTCCACATTTTCAGGATACATGTTATCATCTGCATTCTGGACCTGAGGACATGTGAGGAAATGTTATATGTATGATTAATCAAACAATAAAATATTCATGTTTATAAAAACATAAACATTAAACTAAATAAACATCCAAGATTTTCAATATCTAGAAATAAGTAAAACTTTTAAGCAAATAAATCAGTAATGCACAATAGATGATAGCCCATTCACGCTCCAGTTAATACAATTTAACTCATAGTCTTAAATCTGCCATATACTTATCAAAACATGCCACACCAACTTGATTTGATATCAGAATATTTATTTGAGTATCCATTTGACAAGCCCAAAATATACAATTTGGAGGTCATTAGGGAGAATCATGCCCAAGATACAAATAACATACAGATCCATGAAAGAAAGCACTATTATCTGCTAGTCTAGTAATATTGGGTAACTCTATATAATATTATTTTGAAAGCCCTTTGGTTGTTCAGTATGAAGCTTAGTTTCTATCTAATTTTCTTGTCAGTGCTTGTCATAAGAATTTTCCATGTACAAGGTAAGAAACCGGAAAATTAAGTGCTCACTTCCAATCAAAAGAAACTACAAAACTTCTCAAGTATATACCTTGAATCAAAGTGTCTGGTGATGGAAATCAATATATACATGCTTAGTGTGAGGAAAAGAAAAATAGGAGATAAAGCAACAAAGACCAAAACTGACAAAAATTCTGGAATTTGCGCATATAAAGCAAGCATGCCAACAGGTGTTCTATCAAATCTATTAGAACATTTGTCATTTTTCTTTGAGAGCAACATAATAAAATCACCTTTCATTATAAATAATACTCCTGTCAATTAAACAATCAAGTCAAAAGCCTAAATCTCTTTCTTTCTCCCTTCTCCTTTCTTCTTCTCTCTCTTTCTCTCTACTCTCTACTCTCATCATTTTTTATCAGTCTATAACATTTTTTTTATCAGTAAACATGTTTGACAAGAGTTGAACCCATGACCTCTACACTCTCTTCATCACTCCTTGATTAGTTTATCCTGTCAAATTCTACTTGGTATCAGACCATTTAAGATTTCTTTTTTTTTTTTTTGACAAGTGAGCATATAAGATTTTTGATTGGCTGATCATGACACACTTCCAAGAGCCTGACATCAGAGGCAACACAGATGGCATCAGAAGTCATACAGACTGTACAATTTGATATTTTTATATATTTTACAGTTGGAAAATCAAAACTGTTAGAATCAGCAGTTAGGAGTATTCTAGTCTTTCTACACTGTTATATTAAGAGGTGTTTTGTCTATTTTGTTTCAGTTTAAGTGATGTGTCTCATACTTAATTAGGGGCACAAGTGTCTTTCCCTCTCTCCCTCTCTCTCTTTCTTTGTGTTTCTTCTCCTTTCTCTTTCAATCTGGGGCTCAAACCAGTGTTAATCAAATTGTTAACATTGTATCAGAGCCTTGGTAGTAATCCCAGAAATTTTTCCATCACCTCCAGCATATTGTTTTTGATGAGAACTCATCAGTCACTTGAAGAATCAGGGAGAGGCTACAAAGGACCTATCGTTTTTCTGTGTAGGAGGTATTCATGCCTCCAGTGGTTGCCGGAGTTGTTGTTTCAGTGGGTTACTAGAAACCCTCTACTTGATGACTCAAAGAGGGAATATTAGTGAATAGATTGATTGCATCTATTTTCTTGTGTGGTGATTTAATCAATTGATGCAGTGGAATCTAGACCTATTTAGATGGCCATCCAGCAGGCATGTGTAACAGGTGAATCTCTTTGTGTTTCTTGTTGTTGAAAGTTGGAGATAGTGGTAAATCTTGTTGCTGAAATCTGTGACAGTAGATGTTTCAGCAATAACTGATTACTAGTAGTGTGGTTAGGTATGTTGGCTGAAGATTTTCTTCCTTTTCTAAACCCATGGCAACGATAGGAGAGAATAGTGATAAAAAATCAAGTGTTACAATTCCCCCTGACCTAACTACCTAAATGTGCAAATGACATTTATCAAATTAAATGGTGAGAATTATGTGCCTTGGGCCAAGTCAGTAGAGGTCTAGGTCTTCCTTAGAACTAAGAAGAAGGTGATACATGTGAGAGATGAAAAACCCTCAAGTGTGCAAAGCTTGTTCAGTTCCACTCCAGTGTGGGGTTGAAGAGAGGTAAAATTTTGTGGAGATGTGCTAGAGCTGCTATTTGTTGGACGGTCTGGGAAGAAAGAAATCAAAGATTATTTCATGACAAAGAAAAAGGCAAGGAAGCCCTCATAGAAATTGTTTATGTTAGGGTGGCACATTGGGTCAAGTCCTTGAAGCTTTTTGAAGCCTATTCAGTAGGAGACATCATTAGAAACTGGGAAGAAGTGGCTCGGTCAGCTCCTATGTCTAGTGCTATTAGACCTGT